AATCATGTATATTAGATGTGCGTTGAAATTCACTGAGATTTTCTTTAATTTTATTCAAACTGAACTCTAATTTTTAATAACAATTTTTAACATGTGATGTTATTATTAAAAAGAATAATTTATTTAACATGTCATGTTATTATTAGATCAATTTCTTACTTAGATTTATTATTATTTACTCCAATCAATTTAGGGTGTAATCTTTATTGAAATATACATTGGTTTAATAAGAAAAACTCGATAAGTTTAGGAGTTCAAACGTGCATTTTTCCATATAAATACTCTTTATTCTATCAATAATATGTAGCTTTCTGAATGAAAATCAGGCTTTGGTAATCTTATTATATAATATACATTGGTTTAATAAGAAAAACTCGAATATGAAGTTTTAGGAGTTCAAAACGGTAGCTTTTTCCATATAAATACTCTTTATTCTATCAATAATATGTAGCTTTCTGAAATGAAAAATCAGGCTTTGGTAATCTTATTATAATATATAGTATAGTATAATATATATATATATAATATAATATATATACAATATACACACACTTGATACATCATTCAGTAACATTTCATATTTTCTCCAATATCTTAAATTGAAAGACATTTTACGAAAATTATTATTTTAAAAAGAATAAGAAAGGAACAATATAATAGAACAAGCAAAGATAAACATTGTCCTCTCAATTAAATCCAATGGAAACTGGCAATCACAGAATTATAAAATCATATAAAGATGAACAATAATGCTCAAATAAAGATGAAATAAACTAAACCAGAAGCAAACAATTAAATCATTAACTCAAACTCAAGTCTTGGTAAACGGCCTAGTTTCCGGCTGGTGGTGGAGAAAGGAAAGGGATGGAGGGAATTGTAGTTGGGATAGAGGGGATTGAGGGCATGCTAGGCAATGGAGGCAAACCGAGCTTTGGGGCAGCAGGAATGGCGGGCAAGCTTGGAAGAGGTGGCAGAGTAGGGTTGGGCAGAGAAGGTTGTGGCAGCGTTGGAATAGCAGGCATTGGTGGCAATGCAGGCTTTGGCAAATTTGGGACAGAAGGCAATTGCAAGAGATGACGAGCCGCTAAGCCAACGTCCATGCTTGAAAATGACAAGACAATAAAGAAGACAAGAATGAAGCAGTTATAAGAAGCCATCATTAAGTGTATATTGTTGGCTTTCAAATTTATAAATCTTGAAGAAGGCAATTGCAAGAGATGACGAGCCGCTAAGCCAACGTCCATGCTTGAAAATGACAAGACAATAAAGAAGACAAGAATGAAGCAGTTATAAGAAGCCATCATTAAGTGTATATTGTTGGCTTTCAAATTTATAAATCTTGAAGAAGATATATATGAGTTAGGATGAGAAAACAAGGTCAGGTTCTAGCTCTCTATATATACATGGCTTGGTCTTATGGTGGGTGATATAGAAACTAAGTTAGCTCAGGAAAAATCATATTTGGGTTACTTGTTAGTTCACCTTCTTGTCGATTCTCCAATTGAAAAATGGACAAGACATGGTTCTGGTTTTTGTATGCTATTAGAAAGTCAAAGGGAATGTGTAATCTATACTAATTGGTGGGCAATCTAACATATTTAGATATAAACTTAAACGCTACCAAAGGTTACCGTTTATAGAAATAGGACAATACCTTTTAAACCATGTATTTTTCATTTTATTTCTATTTTACCCTTGGACTATTATTGTAGGTGCAACATATGTGTATGTCTCATTAACACGCCATACATTTTTAGAGAGACAAGTGTAAGCTTCATATATGAAGTTGGTCCCTCAAAATATAAAACATTATACTTTTCCCCCTAAACTTTTAAAAATTTTATTTGGCCCCTAAAAGGTTTTCCAGCTCCGCCCCTGCATATGATCTATATACTAAATCAAACAACAGAGGTTTATCTTTTATTTTTAATTTAAATTTTTCTTTTTTAAAATTAATTAATAGACTTAATAAAAGAAAAGGTAAAAATGAGTATGTTGCATTTGCATATTAATTTGGATGTATTGAAATTTTCTTTATTTTTACTAGTGAATTCTTAAATTATAAATTTAAAAAAAATGAGTTTAATTGGATTGAATTGAAATAATTATATTTTTAAAAGTATTTCAAATTCATTACTCTTTAAGTCTTCAACTTTTTATAAATTAATACAAATTATATATTTAATAGATCTAAATAATAGATTTTATCAAATTTAAATGCAAGGATTTAACTTTGATAAATACAAACGCAATATAATTAAATTCTCCGGTTTAAGTCTTCCTCCTGTCTTTCTGGTTTATGTCAAAGCCCTTCCAACCAAGATTTATATTGGATTTAAGATTTTCCATATTTTTGTTAAATTAAGTCCTTGAGCTATTATTTTTTCAACATTGAGTCTCTAAATTTTTATTTTTTGATCAAAGCCTTCATTGTTAATGGCAATTTTCCACTTGTAACATTATTATTAGGTCTACTTTATTGTCGACTTGAATTTGCCCCTTATTCTCAATTAATTTAGAGTTTAATCTTTACCTAAATAAAATTAAAGGGTTACAAATTAAAATCCAAAAGTTTAATGGGCAAAATTTAATAAGTTGATGGGCCTAAAGATCATATTACCAAAGATTTTATACAAATGGTAATTTGCAATTAGTACCAAATCTAGAATAATGGGATATGAATTTACCAAATAATTGTGCGTTACTAATCAAATTTAACAGCACTCCACGAATGTATATACAAGTCCAAAGACGAAGATCTTGGTGTCCAAAATAATAGTTGGGTTTGAATTTTCTTCTAAGTTTCATATAATTTTTACTTGGAAAAAACTTTATCGGTGTTATTTGGCTCTAGAAAATTTTTCTTATGTTAGTCTTGATGTATTTTATAACAATTATTTTATTTTGAATAAATGTAAATTTTGTTTTTGAAAGTTTTATTACTATAAAATTTTTTAGGGGTTTAATATATAAAACTCGATAATCTAAGGGATGCATTTCTTTTCCTTTTTTCTTAATGGAATTCCCAACGTAGGAAAATAAAAGTAATTAAGTTTTTTATATTATGAAACAAATACATGATCAATATCACTATAATGACAAAAAAGAAATAAATAAATGCATTTAGCTGGTCTTAGTATTTTATAAAACAATTTTTTAGAAAAGAAAATTGCATGTCATGTGTTTAACAAATTAAAAGAATTCTAATTATGGCAATGGATTTTGAACATTCACAATAAATATCTATTTGAACATCTCTGCCTGCAATTATAGCAATGGTTCTGATATATACTACTTGAATGCATTTTCATTTTATATTTCTTAAAAATGAGAAATAAAGGAAAAAGGAGAAAAGCATAATAAGAAATAACAAAAACAATAGAAAGCAATAAACAATGTCATCTTAATTAATTTACATGCGTCCAGGACGCACAGGGAAAATCATACATAATAAAATCCAATAATGGAAATAAAAAGAATATATAGTACTCAAACAGACTTCTAAAACGAATTCCACGAATGGTTAAAAGCAGCATATGAAAGTCTAGTTTCCGGCTGGAGGAGGGGAAAAGAATGGAATAGAGGGAATTGTAGTTGGGATTGTAGGCATTGAAGGCAAGCTTGGCAATGGAGGCAAAGTCAGCTTGGGCACAGTAGGCATGTTGGGCAAGCTAGGAAGTGGAGGTGGTGTAGTTGGGTTAGGCAAGTTTGGCAATGTGGGCTGTGGGAGAGTTGGAATATTAGTAGGGATTGAAGAGTTGGGTTAGGCAAGTTTGGCAATGTGGGCTGTGGGAGAGTTGGAATATTAGTAGGGATTGAAGGTAAATTTGGCATCGAAGGCAATGGTGGTAATTGTAGAAGATTGCGAGCCGCTACACTAACATCAATGCTTGAAAAGAACAAAGCAATACAAAGAGCAAGAATGAAATAATTGAAAGAGGCCATGTTCTACGTTTATGTTCCTCTGATACTAACTTCGTTGTTCGTCTGGATGAGAAAAACAAGTTCTATTCGTTAGACTTATATAGCTGAAAGTATGGCATAGGCACCATAATCAGAAAAATCCCACTTGAGTCACTTTTATTATTTTTCCTTTTTCGTTAAGTTTCAGACCTAAAAGTTGATAAATATAGTTGAGGTTAGATATATAGATATACAGCTATAACATGTTAGATTTGATTGTGTTTGTATTAGACAGGTATACATTTTCTGTGATCTGATTTGTGGGTTAGCTAACTTTGAGTTCTAGCTACCAAAAAATCAATCTTCTACTCTTTGCTGTTTTTTTGTAATAGAGAATTATTTTTTTAATGAAAGAAATAAAAGAGTTATGATAGCCTTTCATAATATATTTATGCGTCGGGTATGGGTTTGAAAAATGTCAAATTTTACATAGTGTCGTCCCGCTCGGATAGTAATGCTCTTCACAAATTGAAGCCTGCAGCTTGACACGAAGATCGAATAAGCCTCATTACCTCTCCTAAGTCTTGGAATGTCTCTAGCCCTAATTTTGTATTATTATCACATCAATTGGATCATTGGTTTCGTGATATGTATAATTATAATCTTAAACTTAGGGATCATTTGGTCATTAATGTACGGACAATCAAATTTCAATATATATGAATTCTATGGAAATTTCATGAAAGAAGATTCTAATTATATAATCAAATATTGATTAAATTAGGTTTATAGGACTTCAAACAAGGGTTGGATGTGGGAAGTGGCAAAAAGCCGGATTAGTTGATAACTTCAAATGTTATTTGGTGGAAGCATGTTTTGACCTGATTACACTTAAGAGAATGGATATTCTGACTTGAAAATTTAGCCAACCACAACAACAATTTGACAACTTATAATTGGAAGTTAAGCTAACAAAGAAACACTAATCAACTTAGAAGAATTTCACAATTTTCCCTAACTAAACCACCTACCCACAAATCTCATTATCTATATAAGCCCAAAACCAGACATTGATTTTTTCATTCCAAACATATAACCAAAGCCCTTTTCTTAGTTAACACTCATAATTAAACATGGCCTCTTTCAAGTGCTCAATCCTTATTGCTTTCTTCATTGCTTTGTCATTTGCAAGCATGGATGTTGGCTTAGCGGCTCGTCATCTCTTGCAAATGCCTCCATTGCCTTCTATTCCAAATATGCCAAAGCCTACATTCCCACCGTTGCCTAGCAATATCCCAACTCTGCCTCAGCCTACACTGCCAACCTTACCAACTACACAGCCTCCACTTCCTAGCTTGCCTACAATGCCTACTGTTCCTAAGGTCACTTTGCCTCCATTGCCAAGCATGCCATCTATCCCAACTCTGCCTCAACACTGCCAACCTTACCAACTACACAGCCTCCACTTCCTAGCTTGCCTACAATGCCTACTGTTCCTAAGGTCACTTTGCCTCCATTGCCAAGCATGCCATCTATCCCAACTCTGCCTCAGCCAACACTGCCAACCTTACCAACTACACAGCCTCCACTTCCTAGCTTGCCTACAATGCCTACTGTTCCTAAGGTCACTTTGCCTCCATTGCCAAGCATGCCTTCTATCCCCACTATCCCAACTACAATTCCTTCTATCCCGTTCCTTTCTCCACCACCTGGCAACTAATTAAATCTTGGAACGTCCCTTTGCTGCAGTTCCATGGAGTTATTTTGCGACACTGATCATAGCTTGTTTTTTTTATATTTATTTATGTGTTTGTGCATTGTGAGTTCCTGATTATGATATTTGTTTTTACTATTGTAATTCCTGATTTTTGTATTTTTCATATAAATATTTGTATACCATCTTGGCAAGCTTAGCCTATTCATTGTATTGTGTATCCAATATAAATTTATTTTTTTGAATGCATTGGAGGCTTTCATTAGTTGAAATAACACTGCGGGCTACACAATATAAGGGTAGCCCTCCCCTCAGCTCATCAAACTGGTGACAACAACTGTGGTCGAAAGGACTTGAACTTGAGACCTTTCACTTCTTACATAAGTGATGTGAGAAGACCAATCAGACCACCACCTAGCTGGCATCCAATATAAATTTATTGTTTTAATTGATTTAAAATACAGTTATATATGGTTGGATTAATGTTAAAAATATAGTTAGTTAATCTTTTTCTGTATAATTATTGTTGTTTTATACTTGCTACATTTATTTTTTATGATTTTGTTATTTTATAAATGATCGGACGTGACAGAGAGCAAAATAGAAAATTAAAGTTATAATAGAATCATATTATCCATTAAGTTAATAATTTTAATTTCATATTTCATCATTGCATATATAACACACGCTTGTGGTAAAAAGATATAAGCTGGATCTTGCAAACCACCATCATCTGGTAACCTCTTACTAAATGGATAGCTCATGAACCTTTTATATATGTATATATACGCACACACTAAGCGCTAGGGTTTTTCCAACGCAAGGGGAATTGAAGGGAAATGTCAAATGGGAATTCATCCCATCTTTTATCTTTTAAAATTTTGATTTTTACATTATGGGCCAAACTTTTAGGAATATCAATATGGGTTATATTTTTATTTATTTTTCTTTCATTAGATATAAAAGGAAATAGAATTCCTATGATAAATAGGATTCAAACCAAAAATTTTTTACTCTTTATATTATTGAACGAATGAATGAATGTAAGATCAATCAAATTATATATAATTGACTTTATCTTATATCATTGATTTGGTGTATTTATGTTCTATTCAGTTAATTATTGAGCTTATTTTCATTCAAGGTTCTTCAATTTATAGGGTAATCACTTTAAGGTGCCTCATCTTAAAATTGTATCTTAAAACCCTCTAAACTTTGGTGTTTGTAACACAAAAGTGAATCAGGCAAGTTTCCGGCAAAAAATAGTCAAAAAAGCGACATGACATTATTGTGGGACCCATTTTTTTACACATGGCATAGATGTGGAAAAAGAATTCTAACTCAGCTGCATGAATGGATTCCACATGGACAAATATGTAAACTTTCTATACCAATCGCTGCCATGAACTCGCAATCTATAAGTCTTCAAATCTCCCTTGCATTAGTCTTGCTCTACGCGACATCGTTTTGTCAGAACCCTGAGTCTTCAAATTTGTAAGTCTTCAAATTTCCATCGCTTCTACCGCTTGATTTCGCTTTGAAATCACCTCGCCTAAGCTCGCTTATGCTTTTGTGCTTTTGGTTACTCTATTTTGGTATGAGATTTTGAGTTCTACAGTTTTAATTTTGGTTTCTGTAGTTTTAATTTGGTATACAAGTATGACATTGATTCTGATTTAAAAAGTTAACAACAAAAAGAAGAAACATAGAACTCGAGCATGAACAACTAGGGTTTGGAAGGAGAAAGAAAGATAGGAAGA